TTCATCCATGATGTCACGATCGTTGGGATTCTCTGGGTCAGTTTCCCTGCATGAAGAAGAAGAAGGCTTCTCTGGGTTTTTGCGATATTCTAGAAGTTCCATAGGCTCATTTTGACGTTTGCCTCTTCCAACTGGCGCCAAGTGGCATCCAGACTCGAGAATGTCTTTCAGAAGCTCGGGTGATGGCCAACCGTTGGTACGTGAACGAACAAGCCACTCCATTGCTGGTTCAGGCCACGCCAACGGATATTTGAAGACACCCGTTTGATCTTCTTCATAGTGCACAAAGCCTTTGTTCTGCAATTTTCGCACTGGACCATGCATTTCATACGTCCATATGTCGCTACCCCCTCTAGTTTCATTCGACCAATATTCGTTTGAAGGCAGTAAATAGGTATGGTTTATAAAAGAGGCATTCTTGTAGCTGGGTTTATGCTCTTTCCACTCATCAGTGAATCTCAAATGGACATATCTTGGATCATCTGACGCGTGTTCCACCGTGAAAATGGGGATTATTTCGTTCCTTTCGTTTGCAATCGAAAAGGCATCAATTTTCATCTCGTCTAAATCGGGTTGCCAGTGTTTTCTTTTGTCAAAAGGCACGTTTAAAAAGCCTTCGCCGCTTTCCGAGAACAGAAGTTGAGGGATGCAGAATCCTTCAACTCGACTACCAGTTTCTATCTCCGAAGTTGAGGACGAGGCAAGAGATTCAGGATTAAACGAACGCTTTGCTTCACTCGTTGCTTGCCACCAAATCCACTCTCCATAGACGTACTCCACTGGAAACATGCAATTAATGATCTCTGAGAAAGGCTGCAGCCATACCTGGGATTTGTCGTCGAAATCAAACAGGGAAGCCTAGAAAACAGCAACACTTTAATTCAGCTATCATTTTTCGTGATTCTTCTACTCAATGAACAGGCAATTTTGAGAAACGACATTGATTCTGTTTTTACAAAGTACACGCTAAAACATTTTTGAAATGCCTTTGCGATATACCACTCGTTAAGTATCCGATCGTTATACTGCAATTTTCAATAACATGCAAACTGTGTGTCTTCCAGGTGCACGCTGAAATTTTGTTTTTTCGCTGCCGTCAATCAAACCTAATCAGTCGGTACCTTTTATGTTCTTGACTGGCGGCAGCGAAAAACCAAATTTCAGCGTGCAACTCGGAGACACAGAGTTTTTCGCATGTTTATGAAAATTTCAGTAAAGTACCTAACTAATATAATAAAATGGGACACGAATATTGTATATTTCTTATTAAATATATAAGTGTATAATTCCATGTTCTACTAAGATTTAGAGTGAGTTTGATTGGAGTAAGTTTGACCCAAAAAATCCATGTAAAATGAAATGCAAATGAGGCTCCAAATGAGTACGATCGGCCATTTCACGGATCCCGTTACTCAACCTCATCCTCGTCAGCATGTAATTATTCTTTAGAATTTGACTACAGTCCGCAGTAATGAAAGGAATTTGCACATCAACGAACAATTGAAACACTTAAAACTTTCACAGGTTGTAGGCAATTTCTAAAGAATAGATTGCGCTGACGAGGCTGAGGTTGAGCCGCGGGATCTTTGAAATGGTCTATTCTGTACCCGATTTTGACAGATTTCTGGCTGATTGCTTTTTGTGTTTTTTTCCATCAATTATTCATGATCTGTTAATAACAGATCGGTATGCTTGCGAAAAGAAATGAGACAAGGGTGCTTTAAGTATAGTTTAATAAATAAGCAGGAGTGTTTTATCAGGTTTAAAACCACAAGGAGTATCCGAGTGGTTTTAGACCTGATAAAACACGATCTTCGAGTTTATTGAACGACCATTTAGGGTCCTTATTCAAGCCATGCTGTTGTACTCTTTTGGTCCTTTATAAAGATTTCAAAATCTTTATATAAACATATCCATGTTGAACTATTATCAGGTATAAAGATCCATGCACGTGATGGATTTGAAGGACCTGATAGGTCTAAATGCTCATTAATTCATTAAATTTTGAAGTATCAGTCTGAGAGTCTTCAAGCGGAAATATTTCCGCTTGAATTTATCTTTATTTTATGAACAACCTCATTTATATCTCAGATGTATCATTTCGTATGCTTTCTTTACTCGCATGTATTAGACAATTTAATGGAAACTATAATATAGATTTATAAATTCGTATTTAATATCAATCTAGTAATATAGTTAATAGAGGGGAATGGTTAGGAAGCCTAATGTTATCAGGTCTTTGTTCGCTTTTGATGCTGAACCGATCTTGACCGTGCACAATGTTTGATTTATGCTCATCCGAAATTGCAAAATAAGTAAACATAAACTTTGTCTATGGGATTGTTGTAAGGAATATTCAAATATCTCTTATAAATCTCTAAGTATTTTGAACAAGCAGCTAAAAGAAAGAATTTGGTCTGTTCGCACTCAGCCATTGCCAACAATGGTAAAACAAAGGATGTGCACGGTCACGCTTGAAAAAAGTCAACAAAGATCTATAACAAAATCTTGCATCTCAGCAGTAGTTTCGAATACGTTACAGCTCGGTTGAATATCAAACTACTTCTTACTAGAGCACAAACACTAAAAGTGTGCAACACTTTGCACTATTTAGTAGTAAATAGTGCTAATTAAACAATTGGAAACAATAGGATTAGCAAAATTTATCAGTATTTAGTGGTATTTATGTTGCACACTTATAGTGTTTGTACTCTAACCCAAAAATTAATTATTTCTATAATATTATAAGTATATAGTAAGATTCCTTTGATTAATTAAAATCATTTAATTGAGATTAGCTTATAAAATATTAATAATGATCAGTAATAATATTATACTTTATTAACGTGTCATTTTACTCTGTTTACTAGTTAGCGTTTTAACACTGATTGGGGACGTATAAAAGAAAAAAACTAATAACTAAAATAACTAAATAGCAGACTACTAAAAAAAGACAATCAACCAAAATAATAATAATAAAATAATAATAAATAAATTAAGGGTAAGATTTTTTTACAAATGTCACATTTACATTTACCTCAGTCGGGACTTTAGTTCCTGCCATATTTTTACTAAGTCGTGAAGGAAGGTATTGTGTAATGTCTTACCTCATTTGTATCCGGATCACTCAACAGGAGAATAGACGCGTCTCTGATGACTGACTGATGAGGCATGACAGTTATTTGACTGACAGCTTGGCATCAGCTAGATCGTTTTTTAGTTGTCGGTAAAATCACACCAACTTCACGTCACGCTGTCACGTATCGAAGGAAAAAATATCAAGGATGTCTATTGAATTTGCTGATATTATTTTAAACTAGACCCTCTTGATACGACAAAAAAGTTTATTTATACAGACTCGCTCTTTGAATCAAATGATGAATGATTTTCGACACCGATTTATGGATTTTTTATGTACTTTGTGTTACCTAATTGCTAAAATTAGGAAAAAGAATCGCTAACGTCATTACAGGAGGATTTATTCTGTAAAACTTCAGAAAGATCCCCAATCACATCTTTGCTTTTCAAGAAAAGCACTTTGACCAAGTTTATTTTCAACCACTGAGAACTATAAAAAAAGTACGTCAGTTTTGGTTCAATGAGAACTCGAATTATCTATATTAATAAATGCATATTTCTATTTCGATATTTAAGGCACATAATATTTAATCTAGATGAAAAATGAAAAAGAAAAAAAAAGATCATATGGACTTGGCTAGCCTGCGTGCCTCCAAACGTTTACTCGTAAAGAAAATTCCGGATGCAGCGCAGGCTAGGACTTGGCTTGACAAGAAGAAGAATCGGAAATAAAACTCCAAGAAACAAACAGAAATGAGAAAAAAAAGTCATGCAAAAGCAGGAAATAATTGAATGGGTGAACACATCTTTCAAGGTTTTTTTTCTTATATATATAGCGCGCACCTGTAAAAACACTTTATGACGTAAAACGGATTTACATTATGACGTCAAGACATTTGACCAATCACGTAACCGAATCAAACCAATCAAATACCATCATGTCAGGTAACGTTCTCGAGTTAACTTCAAAATGTCAATTCGTCAATTAATGGTATTTAGCTGTCCTACAATTCTAAACCCTCGAAATGTTGGTTGGAAATTCAAATCATCTTGTTTGTTTGTAGCACCTGGTGAATCGTCGTCGTCCGCCAAGTCATGTTATAACAACAAAGGAATTGTTACCTATAAGTGCTTGAAAAAACTGCTTGCTGAGAACGATATTCAACTCTTTGACGTGCGAACTCGACAGGAAGTGGCGGCGGGGAAAATTCCTGGAGCTACCAATATACCACGTAAGTCTTCGTGAGGTTTGAACACAATGGACCAAATCTACTTGTGCGTAATGTTTTACCCATTTCAGACCACGTGTCATTCTCTTGAGTATAAGATTCTTTGTTTAAGTTGTATCCATATTCATGTGTCTTCTCATGTGCAACAGTTAATAATGTGATAATACACGTGGTCTGAAATGGGCTAACAGTGGGTTAGGCGGTCTTTTAAGTTGATGATATGATGAGAGACGCGCGGGGTGTTTTTGGCGTATGGCGTACGCATGGAAAGTGGTTAGTTTTTCGAACGAGGATAATGCGCAAGAACGCGTTGGTATCCAGTGACTGAACCGAATCTCAAATGTTCCGGCTACGAGATCGCGCTGTAGATACAATAGAGGCTTTGCACTATCACGTAACGGCAGCCATGTTAGATGGCAGTAACAATAAAACCTTTTACATGACTGAGAAAAATTCAATTCCCGAGAGCAAAGGGATTTTATTGTTCTGATATCTAACCACAGGCAGTCCAAGCTGTATTATGGGCGCTGGCACACAATGGTGCAAAACCTCTATACTCTTTTCGCTAACTCTACCTTTTCTTTTCCAGTAGACGAGCTTCAAGAGGCATTGAGCCTGTCACCAGATGAATTTCAAAAGAAATATAACGTACGAAAACCGGGGCTTGATGACGGGAATATTACAGTCCATTGTAGATCCGGTATGCGCGCAGACTCAGCTATCCAGATCTTTAACAATCTGGGCTACAAAAGGTACGAAATTAGAGCGTTTAAATAATCAGTCTACAATCTCCGGCAGTGACGTAAATGCTTCGCGATTCCATACTGCGCTTCAGCACTACGTGTTGAGGTATGGTCCTTGTTTAATCAATCCGAAAACAAGTAATTACTAAAACCACTCTCCCTAGCAGTTGATCAACGTAACTTACATATTTCAATATTGGAAAGAGATCTTAATTATTAGGGTACATGCGTGTATGGTACGTGCTTAAAGCCGTATGGCTAATTAATTCTCGACTTCTAAACAGAAATACGGACAGGAAAACTACAAGGGCATACCTTAAAGTGCTTATGAGCCTTTACACAATATATTCAGAATTGATTCTTTAAATAGTGAATAGCTGATTGTGAAAATATTTCGTCATTTGAATGTCGGGTCTTTGAGATACGAAGGTTTATATTTCCAATATGTTAATGACTATGACGTAACATAAGGGATTTGAGTTATTTTGTGGCAACTTTTTATATTGAACGCTGGACATTTTTTGAAAACAAATTTGTAAGAACCTTAACGTGAGTCACGAGTAAAAGGGTGATGCTTTTAAAATACTGTAATCCAGAACGAGTGCAGTGTTGTATATTAAATGATCCCTTATGTTACATCATAGTCATTAACATATTAGGAATAAAAACCTTCGTATCTTAAAGACCCGACATTTAAATGACGAAATATTTTCACAATCAACTATCTACTATCTAAAGAATCTATTCTGAAAATATTGTGCAAAGGCTTATGAGCACTTTAAAAAATGACAAAGCAAAGTTTCTATGGTGGTGGTAGGGTAAGAAATACGATAAAAATACTCATGCTTCTTGCTTCTCTCATAGATATTTTAGGGCGCATAATTTTACCGGTGGATGGACTGAATGGCAAAAAGCTATGGAAGCTGACATGGCCGCTGCGAATGAGTGAAAACTTTCCGAGGAAATTATCGAGTATTTGACGATAAAAAATCCATGTTTATAAAACTGTAAACTTGTCGAGAGCATTAATTTAGTTTTCCATGGAATTTTAATTCAAAGTTGTAAAAGCATTTACAATCTCTATCTTCGTAATCTTATGGCATTACTGATCCTTATAGTACTTTATTTTACTGACATATTTACAAAAAACATCTGCAGTTTTCTGTTAAGTTTTCTATTATGAAAAAACTACCAAATATTCAGTTCAAACTTCAAATTTCGAGCAAAAATGTTTTTAACTTTTTGTTTTATTTTTTCAAGTTTATTTATTTATTTATTTATTATTATTATTTATATATATTTATAGAAACTTGCCAATTTTTTAACTGGGTAGTTAATTATCGTCAGCATTTTCTTTCTGCGAGGAAGAACACCGTTCCAGAAACAACTTTTGGATCTCTTTTGTCACTTCCATTTCTATTCTATCCCTTGTTAGGCTTTCCAGCTGGCCGTCCAGATCTTCGGACACTTTCTTTTGTATGGTTTTCAGATCACTTTGGCAGAGCAATCCGAGTATTTCCATAACTGGAGCCTGAGCTTCTAGGAACTGGTTGCGTGCTTCTTCGCGATGAATTTCCTTGGTACGTTCCATGACACTCGTTTGTGGGACCAAGAACGACATGTCCCTTCCTGCTCGTACTTCAGCATAAAATGCCAGTGCCAAAGCTATGAATTCGTCGCCAGTGGATAGTTCTGTAGTCTCTTGCCTAACAAAGGATTTAAATTCTTCCTCGTTCGATTTTTCCTGGCTTGATTTGTCGGGCTTGAGGTACCATATCTTACACAGGCTTCTTGCTAACACGGACTCATAGGCGTAAAGAGGAATGTGCATTAACGTTTTGATATTCTCATCGTCACCGAATACAACATTTCTCAACATGCTTTTGACTTCTTCTTTGGCCTGTTTGATAAACAGGGCAATCACCGAAATGGTTAGTGCTGTCACATCTTGTTCTGCCAAGGATTTGTCTCGTGTTTTGGCCACTAGAAGATCCAAGCCCTGTAAGTTGTTGATATAGATTTGAGACTGGTACGTCATAGAATGACATCTCTTCAGCAAACTGATTGTTTTGGTCAAGATGCTTCTTCTTACATCATGAATCATAGCTGCTCCTTCGGCCAGTTTGGCAGGATCCTCGTTTTGCAGAAGGTTGCTTTGTGGGATGATGTAATGAGGAAGGTGTCCTTCTTCCAAGCTCTTCTGAAGCCGATCC